ACCACATGTGTCTGCTCCACTGCTGAGTCAGACGAGGCCATGTCGGGGGCACACAGCAGGCCGGCCAGGCTCTGTGGACAGAGGTCAGCAGGCCTGAGCAGCGGAGGAAGTTCTGGGCATCAGGACTCAGAAGACTCCAGCATGACAGGACAGAGGGCCCCTTGGAGGAGGGAGAGCAAAGGCCACTTGCACAATGCCAAGTCTGGGTCCCTGGGGTCCCCCCTGGCAGCTAGGCAGTGTCACCCAAGCACAGCAAGAAGGGCACCGGCCTTGCACAGGCCGACCCGGGTTTAAACTTTCACACCCCACAGGGGACCCAAGCCCATCAGGAGTGATCCCTGAGCACTGCAGAGTGTGGCCCCAAAAACAAAAATTTAAAGAGGGGGGGAAAAAAAACCAGCCCCAAAACCCTCCAGTTGCACCTGTCCCCAAACACGTCAACAGCAAGAAGACTGAGAGACAGATGACCTTAAAGTCCTGCAGATGCTGTTCGACAGAGATAACAGATCTCCTCATAGAATCCTTGACACATCACGAAGCATCATGCCCGAGGCCCTGAATCCAGGCCCTGGCACCACCAACAGGTGCCGCCACATCCAGGATTGGGCAAACCCGGGTGGGAAGAACACAGGCGGGGAAGGCAGGGATGCTTTGTCTGGACTGTGCTGGGCAGCGATACATCCCCCGCAGACCCGGGAAGCAGAATCAACAACCCTCGGTTCCCTTTCTGAGGCAAGAATGGGATGTCAGAAAGATCCATTGACATCTTCAGATCTAATGTTCTTAATTCTACGACAATTCATTTTATTTATTTGGGGGGAGGGGGGAACACCACTCGGTGGTGCTCAGAGCTTACTCTTGGCTCTGTACTCAAGGATCACTCCTAGAGGTCTGGGGGACCCTATGGGGTGTTGAGAATGAAAGTCGGATCAGCCACGTCAAGGCAAATACTTTCTCCACTTCACTATCTCTCTAGTCCCTAAATTGTTTTAGAGAAAACAAACGAAACATTTCAATAATGCCAACTGTTTCTACGGACTGGAGAGGCAGCAGGGGGCCAGGGCGCCAGCTTGCAGAGTGCCGTGGTCCAATTCCTAGTACTGTACGCCCCCCACCCCCGCCCCCCAGCACCACCAGCAACAATCCCCAGGCACCCCACCAGGGAGCAGCCCCTGGACACCCCTGGGCTGACCCCCAAGGGAACAAACAATCTGGATCAAGACAACCACCTGGGCAAGTCTTACTGAAAGGAAAAGTTTGGGTTTCTTTGGGGGTGGGGTGGGAGGATGGGGTGAAGCTGGGGCCACATCCAGCGATGCTCAGGGGTCACTCCTGGCTGGACACCCAGGAATCACTCTTGGTGGTGCTTGAGGGACCATATGGGATGCCAGGGATGGAACCCGGGCTGGCCGGGTACAGGCAAATACCCTCCCTGCTGTACTCTGGCTCAGCCCCATGAGTGGGAAAGTTCTTTTTCCAGGTTCTTCACCCACTGCTCCCACAGATGACAGGGCACTCACCCAGCCTTGCAGAGGGCGGAGGGTGCAGGGCCAGGGGGAGGCCCCAGCAGGGTGGGACTGTCTGGCAGTAGTGTGACAGTTTGGTGCCTGGGCCCATGGGACGGGCTCCAGGGCCACCCCAGGTATACTGTGGGGCAAAAGGCACAAACGGATAGACAGATGGACACGCAGTCTGGGGCCGCAGAACGAGGCCTCCCCTGGCAGCAGGGGCTCTGCCGCTGGCCTCCCTACTCTCAGGCACTTCCCCGCCTCTCTCCACAGGGTCTCATCTGTCAGACTGGAAACCGCAGCTCCAGCCCCTCTGCCACGCACTGGGTGCTGGGTCCCTGGTTCCTGTAGCACTGTCCTCCCGTTGTTCATTGATTTGCTCGAGCAGGCACCAGTAACGTCTCACAACAAATCATGGGACTTGTTGTTACTGTTTTTGGCATATCGAATACATCATGGGTAGCTTGCCAGGCTTTGCCATGCGGGTAAGATACTCTCAGTAGCTTGCTGGGCTCTCAGAGAGGGGAGGAGGAATCAAACCTGGGTTGGAAAACCCCCTACCCGCTGTGCTATCGCTCCAGCCCTGGTTCCACATGGCAAAAAGTGCTTTTGAGGGGCCTAAATAATAATACTGCAGGCAGGGTTAGTAATACTTGCCTTGCACATGGCTGACCTGGGCATCTCATAGTGTCTCCCAAGCCTGCTCGGAATGATCCCTGAGCACAGAGCCAGGAGTAAGACCTGAGCACCGTCAGGTGTGGCCCAAGAACCAAACAACAGCAAAAGCGAAAGACAGGCAGACAGAAAAACCCTGGCAGAATGAGGTTCGGAGGCCTTTTGGGCCGAACAAGTGGACGTGCCTACTGGCCAGCATGCCCCATCCAGCCAGGCCCTGCCCCACACCGCCCTTCCATCGAAGTATCCGGGAGCCTCTGCCACATCCTCTACAGCCAACGGCAACTTGCAGGGGAGTGCTCTCCCAAGCCCCAAACAACTGTAGCAAGTCTAAGGGTAGGGTGGGGTGTGTGTGTGTGTGTGTGTGTGTGTGTGTGTTTTCTTGTGGGTGGCGAGCATCAGAACTGTGTGGAAGTGCAGGACAGTATCTGGCGGCACAGAGATTCAAAAGCCTGCGAAGTGTCAGAACAGGCTTGAGTCACAGTTGTTCCCCTGGTTCCCATCTCTCTCCCGGCACTGCAGAGGGCCCTGGGACTTTGACCCCACTGCCCACCGAGGATGGGCAGTACCCAGAAACCCATGGGCAAGAAGCTACAGCAGCAGATGATGACCTCAAGATCTCTGGAGATAAAGGAACTCCTACCATCCCAATAAGACACCTGGCAAGCAGGTGGGGACATCAGTCCAGCAGCAATGCTGACCACGGGGCACAGAGAAGCTTCTCATGCCCCACGGCCATCCCAACACAAACCCCAGGAATATCTGTGTAGTCTCCCCGAAAGACAAGAGGCTGCCCACTGACATCAAGGCCATCCTGTTATCACCCAGAGCCAGCCTGGACACCCCGATGGGCCCACAGCCAAGCCTGGAGCTCTACAGCCTTTATGAAGCTCGGACCAGAGCTGGACGCAACAGGGTCCCGTCAAGAGTCCTGGCCCCGTGGCCACAGTGTCTGCCCTGGTCCGCCCTCATGGTCTCCCCTTCACTGTTGCTTCTCTCCTGAGCCCCTGGGCAGTGATTCTGTTTCTGAAGCCGTGTGTTATTCTCACTCGTTTCTGTTTTTAGAACTCAGTCTCTCACTGAACCCTTGTGATGAACACACACGTGGGTTTTTAAAAAAAGAAAGTGTGGGGGCAGAGAGACAGCACAGCAGGGAAGGCCTCTCTGCCTTGCTGGCAGCCGACTCAGGTTTGATCCCCAGAACCCCGTTTGGTCCCCTGAGCACCACCAGGAGTGATCCCTGAGTACAGATCCAGAAGTAACCCCTCAGCACTGCCAAATGCAGCCTCCAAACAAAACAAAACGAAAAAGGAGGGTGTGTGTGTGTGTGTGTGTGTGTGTGTGTGTGTGTGTGTGTGTAGAAGTGAAGGGTGGAAACCCACAGCAGGAATGCAGCCTCCAAACAAAACAAAAAAGGAGAGGGGTGTGTGTGTGTGTAGAAGTGAAGGCTGGAAACCCACAGCAGGAAAGAACTGAGATTTGCTGGCAGAGAAGCAAAAGGATGAGCTTTCCCTACGTGCAGGTTGGGTTCACCATCCAACATCGGTGCCCTCGGAGTGGAGGCTGGCAGTGGGGTAGCTGTGTGGTGCAGGTAGAAGACTGAGGGAAAGACCTGCTCAGCGGCTCTGCCAGGGTCTTCAATGTTCCCAAAAAACACTCTCCAGTGGAAAAACCACTCTGCCAGCTCACAGGCTAGCGGGGGGGTCACTCCCAGGGTGTTTCTCAGTGAAAGCAGAGTCAAGGGCCCACCTGCTGCTCAGGGAGGAGCCTGATGGCCCTCCTCATCCAGGCCCAGGCTCAGAGTCGGCAGCCGTCAGAGCCACATGGGCCCCCGGAGACCGGAAGCATCTACCTTTTGGTGAGGAGACTTAGGAGTAAGGAGAGAGCTCACGGGGCTGGATGGAGCGCGCGCCTTGCAGGCAGGAGGGCTAGGGAATCCCCTGGACACTGCTATAAGCACCCCAACGCATAGCCGGGAAATGGCCACAAACTAAGAAACAAAAAGCAAGTAAGGAGGAGGCCAATCAACCATAACGAGACCCAGACTCCACCCAGCCAATCCTCCCAACCTGAGGACCCCACACCATCTTCTTCAAATCACCCGCAGCACCGTGAGCGGGTACTGCCTGCACTGGGCCTGCTGCCTGGGCTGAGAACCAGGCAGGGACTGTCAAGACCCCACATCCGTCCACCAGCAACACGGCCACCGTGAAGGAGTCGACCAGAAGGGAGCAGACGGGAGGGATCTTCTGAGAAGAAAGTGACCCTCATGGACGGACAGCAGGGAGCCCCGAAGAACTACTTTCACACGTAGGGGGTCCAGCTCAGGCTCGGTGATCTCGGGCTTCTGGCATTCCAATCTGGGGCGCTGGTTGGAAGGTGAAGGTCCTTGGGCAGTGGTAAGGCGGTCCTGGAGGGCTGCTCCTGCACTGCGTCCTTTCCTCGGCAATTCCCGCTGGAGCAGGGGTGAGACCCGGGCCCGTGAGAGCACATCCTCACATCCAGTCTTCCGGTTGGAGCAGGGATGAGACCCAGGCCCGTGAGAGCACGTCCTCACATAGGATGTCTTCATGTCTTTGCAGTGCAGGAAGCCAGGCCGTGAGTGTTGCATCAGATGGATGGGGGTGAGGGGAGTCCCTCCAGGCAGGTGGCTCCTACCGGGTTTGGCCGCTGGGCTGGGCTGGGGCTGGCGAGCTGCTGCCTGCCCGCTGGCCTGAGGGGGAACCTCAGGACACATGCACTTACCTGGGAGACAAGCCCACACCCGGGCCGGAGCCCTACTCGCAGCCCAGCCCGGCACGGCCCGGCCCACCTTACCTTGTGTACACTCTTGGGGTTTTCCAACCAGGCATAGTACATTTCCTCCACATAGTTGGAGCTAGTCCCACTGAGAAATGGCTCTGCAGCCACGGGGGCTGAGAAGCAGCGGGCCTGCCACAACGTCCTGGCCGCTGACGGTCTGTTCTGGGACAATGTCTTAACAGTCTGGGAGGCTGTCAAGGGCCTCAGCTTCGTAGCACAAGTCCTTAAGTGAAACATTCTGAGTTCCCGCCGCCGTCTCTCTCGGCTGTCAGTGCGAAAGGGGGAAAAGAGAAAAGAAAGTCAGGTTAGGAAGCAGCCTCTCAGCAAGACCCAGCTTGACACTCGAAGACCAAGAGGGGTGGAGGCTGACGGTGCTGACGCTTCGGCACCTTCCCTGGGGCTGCGTGGGCACAGCGCCGCCCAGGCACGTCAGCCCCACGCGGCAGACCCCGTCTGAGCGCGGCACTCCACATGCATGTATGAACACAAGCACACACTGACACAGCTCACCTGAGACGCCGTGCTCGCAGACAAGCAGAGGGCAGAGGGTTGGGAGCAGACCCTTTGCACCAGTGGCTGTGGCCCAAACTCTCTCCCCGAAAAAAAGGCAACAAGGAACTAAGGTCAGTTTGAACCAAGACTGAGAAAGGTATTTTATTAGGCAGAGGTCTGCGGGCGTGGAAGGCGGTAGGCTGGCAGCAGGAGAGGCTTGGAAGCCAAAGCAGGGGAATGGGCCAGTGCACTGAGATGAGAGGATGAGTCTTGTACCTGGTCCGTTTCAACAGCTACACCCTCTACGGAAATCAACATTTTGTCGGGGCTGGAGTGATAGCACAGTGGGTAAGGGATTTGCCTTGCATGCAATGAACCCAGGTTGGATTCCCAGCATCCCATATGGTTCCCCGAGCACTGCCAGGAGTAACTCCTGAGTGCAGAGCCAGGAGTAAGCCCTATGCATCATCGGGTGTGACCCAAAAAGAAAAAAAAATTGTCAAAGAAGCTGATGTTTAGCTCAGAAGAGTCGACGGTTCCCAGAGCCCTAAATGGCTACCCAGGACTTCTGCAATGCTGAAATGACACAGGGGCTCAGAGCATCTGCCCTGCACCACACGCCAACGGCCAGCTGCACCGTGGCCAGGTGTGTGCCAGCACCCTAAGAGGGCAGAGACCTGGGTGCCGGAACTGGGGTCCCAACACTGCAGCCAGGGAGTGTAGCCCTGTTCAAGCACCCCCGCGAGCACCATGATGGTGAGCACCAGGGCTGAGCATGTAAGCACCTCACACACAGCTGCGACCCCTCATGAGCCTAAAGCAGGAGGCTGGGAGGCAGGAGGGCATCAACCCGAAAATGCTTTATTTCTTTCTTTTTGGGTCACACCTGGTGATGCACAGGGGTTACTCCTGGCTCATGCACTCAGGAATGACTCCTGGCGGTGCTCAGGGGACCATATGGGATGTTGGGAATCGAACCCGGGTCAGTCGTGTGCAAGGCAAATGCCCTACCCTCTGTACTATCATTCCAGCCCCTATTTTTTTTTTTCTTTTCCGAAAATGCTTTAGAATGACAGTAAAAAGGGAACCGGGGACAGAGCACAGGCACCGCCTGGAGAAGGACAGTCACCCCACGTGGCCAAGCCAGGCAGTGCTGCCCGGGCTCCTGTCCTGGCAGGATCCTGCCTTCCCAAGGGCACCTTCAGGCCCCAGCACAGGGGTGCGGAGTGGTGAGGGGGAGCCTGGGTGCCAGGGGCAGGTCCAGGTGGCCGCGTGCTGGCCTGACCCCACTGCTGGCGAATGTTCCTCCCAGCCATGTTCTGGGAGTAAGTTGGGCTCACCCCGGCAGGGCCAGCCAGACCTGGGCAAATGTGGACTCAGACCGTGTGGTGAAGGTGCCCGAGAGAAGGCCGCGGCCTCTTGCAGCTCAGACAACCCGAATGCAGCCTGCTCTGTGGCCAGCCCGGCAGGCCAGCAGGAGACGAGAGCAGGGCAGGGTCACACGAACAGACTCTGCTCCTTGAAACTCAAAAGACGAATATCACAGCCAATCAGCCCTCACGGCTTTTTACCTCAAAGTGAAACAACTGGGGCCAGAGTGCCAGCATAGTGGAGAGGGTGCTTGCCTTGCACACAGCTGAACCGGGTTCGATTGCTGGCACCCTTATGGTCCCCCCTGAGCACAGAACCAGGAGTAACCCGAGCACTGCCAAATGTGCACCCCACCCCCGACCCCCACACGCAAGAAGTAAAACAAGTTGAGCTGGAGAGAGTATAGGGATTAAAGACACTTGCCCTGCAGTGGTCGGCCCAGGGTCAATCCTGGGCATCACATATTGTTCCTAAGTCCTGCCCGGAGTGAGCCCTGAGCCCAGCGGATATGGCCCTCCCCCAATCACGCTAGTATTATTCAGGGTCAAAGGCAAATGCTTATATTTCTTCCCAATTTCATTATTATCTAGGCAGCGCCAAGCACTCAGTGACCTGAGTCAAGTTTTTCTCCGTGAATGAAGTTGGACAGTGGCTACTGAAGTCCCCGCAAGGCCGCTTGGGGCCTCGGCTCCGCCCCAACCTGACACCGCTCACCTTCCCACCGGCAGAGGACCGCACTGGTCAGTGCCGGCCAGCACCAATGAAGTAATTTTTTCCACTCCCCAACGGAAGATGAGATAATCAGTCACAAGACAGTTTTCCATTCCCCGAGGGTATGTTACCTAAGCCGGAAATAATTCTCTTTTCTCTGATCTTGCCTTTTTCTAGCTACAAAAACCTCTCATTTCATGCAGCTTTTCAAGAGCACTGTGCTACTGCCTTCTTCATGAGTCAATGAAGCCCACTGGATGTCCGGGGCTAATGGATGGTGTCTCCCCCCCAGCCCAACACTGCTGGGCGTGGCCCAAAATCTTAACAAGAAAAAAGTTGCTGAAGATATAAAATGAACCAAGTTGGACTTTGCTGTTGAATAGGCACTGGCAGCACTCCACAAGCTACAGACCCGTGACTCCCTGGGAGCTCCTGAGAGGCCCCCGTTCTCCTGGAACAGTGCTCAGCGGTTTGCCTTGAAGAGGATGCTCTGGAAAAGTTGCTCCTGCCACACACGACTTGGAGTTCTGGTCTCCCCTCTGGTGGCCGGGCCAGACGCACTCTGTCCACAAGCTGATGGCCCCACAGAGTCAACGTGCGATGTCCAGTCCAGACAGCTCGTCTCTCCACTCACACTGCCCATTTTCAGGCCAGTACGGCAGGGCTCAGGGTGCACAAGGCCATGGTTTGACTCCCCAGAGTCTTGTCAGGGGCAACCCTTTGACCCAAGACAGAGCACTGAGTCCGTGCCCCCTGGGGGGCTCCCAGGTCCCGAGCACTCCCCACCACCACTGCACTCTGAGGGCGCTGCAGGGATGGGAACAGACTCTTCCAGAGAAGGGGCATCTACGGTTGATACGTGTGTGGCAAGATGATCGACAGGAAATATAAAGTGGCGCGGCCGAGAGGAAGCGGTGCCCTGACGCCGCACAGGGACGGGCCTGTGAGAAATGCTCGTGAACCGGACAGGGCAGTGAGCTGAGTCCCTTCAGCGTGGCCGTGAAGGGTCTGCGAGCACAGCAAGGAGAGAGGCAGGAGCAGTCCGAGAAGGAAAGCGCTCCCGACGGGATTCCCCTCTGGTCGGCGCTGCTGGCCCCGGCCCGCGTCTGTGTAGACGGCCACGCTCAGTTCAAGCACACTCTGTTATTCTGGGGGAAGGCCCAGCCTGTGGTACTCAGGGATGACGCTGATGGTGCTGGGGTCCTACCTGGGCCTGCGTGCAGGGTGAGCACTGTGACCCCGGCCTCTCTCTCATTTCATTTGGATGTTAAAGAGCTACCATACCATACACTATTCGTTCTCTTCTGGGCTCTCCAAGGCCTGGGGCCACTCCCAGCAACACTGCATCAACCACACCTGAGGTCCAATGCTTGGTCCCAGCTAAAGACGCTGCTGGGTTCCAGGTCACTCATGTGGTACTGGGGACAGCACGTGCCCTCGGCCCTCCATAACCCTAAATATCAAGTGTTTGGGGCAGGAGAGCTTAACCAACTGGGATACCTACTTGACGCGCTAGACGCTGCAGGAAGTGACCCCAAATATAGAGCCAGGAGCAGCACAACCAGGTGCCCCCCCCCATTGCTCATTTAATTACTATTTTGATAAAGAACATAAACAAGGTCTAGATAGTACAGTGGGTAGGGCGCTTGCTTTGCACGTGTACTACCCAGGCTCAATCCCTGACATCCCATATAGTTTACCAAGTCGCCAGGAGTGATTCCTGATCACTGCCAGGTGTGATACCCCCACACCCCACCCCCAAAGAAACGCAGTGGGGGAGGATTAGGGGGAGCTACCTAAGAAATATGGGGGCCAGAAAAGCAGTCCAGTGGGTAGAGCACTTGCCTTCCACCTGCTGCTGACCCGGTCTGATCCGACACACCACATCCTGTTTCCCTGAGCACTTATAAGAGTAAGCCCTGAGCACTGCTGGATGTGGTCCAAAGGAGGAGAGAGTGGCTGTCCCTTTAAAGCACATGGTCTCTCTACTAAGAACAGCCTTCCTGTCCCAAGTACCTGAGCTGCACTGGGCATGGTGGGGACACAGTGGGCAAGGGAGGAGCAGCCAATCGAGATCTCTCAGGTCTGATCCCGTTTCCTCTGGCTGCTCTTAACCCAACTCTGATCCCCTACAGCGGTAGGTTGTGTTGGGCTTTTTTTGGGGGGGCACACCCTCAGTGCTTAGGGGATTATATGTGGTATCAGAGACTGAACCCAGGCCAGCTGTGTGTAGGACAAGGGCTCCACCACTGTGTTATCATGGCGATTATTTTTTTTAAGTCAACAGTTACATATGACTCAGCAATTCTACACAGGAACTTAACCAAGGAAAACACATGTCCCATGTTCACACAGAAAACTTGGACCCCCAAGTTGACAGCATTTCCATACAAAGTCAAAAAATGGAAGCAACTCTAACCGTCCGTTCACTAGAGAAGAGATAGTCACACAGAGCAGATTATCAGGCAGAACAGAAATGGCAAACAGGAGAAATCGAAACCGAGTGACAGATGAAATACCAGTGTAGATTTCATCTCTAGGAACAGTCAGAAGTGACAAATGGGGCTGGGGCGATGGTACAGCAGGGAGGGCACTTGTCTTGCACATGGCCAACACGGGTTTGATCTCCGACACTCCACATGGCTCCCCATGAAGTGCCAGGGGTGATTCCTGAGCACCACTGGGTATGGC